GGGGGGCAGGGAGAGCGTGGGAGGGGGAAGCAGGCGCAGCTTTGAGCCTCCCAGGCAGTGGGGCGGGAGCACCTGGTTGCTAAGGTTACGACCACCTGTGATGGGATGTTGCCATGGAGACTCACCACCTGGGCGGAGAGGGCGGCTCCAGATGGGGAAGCCGTGGGAGAGGCTGGGGGCGGGGAGGAAGCAGCCCGCAGAGGAAGGTGGCCTTCTGGGGAGGGGCGTGGTAGGGCCGAGGGGTCTCCTGTCCTGTGCTGTCCTGCCTGGGAAAACCAGCAGGAACTCTTCTGCGGCAGGAATCATTTCTAAAATTAAAAGCCCTCCTCCTCTTGCTCGCCCTCTCCAGCGTGAGGGACAGGACCAGGTGCGGGTAGAAGTGGCAGTCATGCTCCAAGGTAGGAGGCTGCAGGGGCAGGTAGCCTGGGAGCCTCCCGTGTGGCCCCAGACAAGTGGCCTCCCTCTGTAACTGGGGATAGAGTCCTTGGCTGCTAAGAGGCAAACGTGTAGAGTCCTGCAGCCTTGGGCTCCAGATGCCTGAGGTCAAGCCCCGGCTTCAGCAGGCAGATGCTGTGTGACCTGAGGCTAGTGACCTAACCTCTCTGAGCCCCCAAATTCTCATCTGTAAAGTGGGAATAATAATGAATCCAGGCCAGGCACAGTGGCTCACATGTGTAATCCCAGCACTTTGGGAGGCTGAGATGGGAGGATCACTTGAGGCCAGGAGTTCGGGACTGCAGTGAGCTATGATTGCACCACTGCACTCCAGCCTGGGCAAAATAGCAAGACCCTGTTAATTAAAAGTTAATCAGGGCCAGGCTCGGTGGCTCACACCTATAATCCCAGCACACTGGGAGGCCAAGGTGAGCGGATCACTTGAGGTCAGGAGTTCTAGACCAGCCTGGTCAACATGGAGAAACACCATCTCTACTAAAAATACAAAAATTAAATGGGTGTGGTGGCATGCGCCTGTAGTCCCAGCTACTTGGGAGGCTGAGGCAGGATAATTGCTTGAACCCGGGAGGCAGAGGTTGCAGTGAGCCAAGATTGCACCACTGCACTCCAGCCTGGGCAAACAGAGTGAAACTGTCTTACAAAAAATTTAAAAAGCTAATTTAAAAATTAGCCAGGTGTGGTGGCACATACTTGTAGTCCCAGCTACTTGGGAGGCTGAGGCAGGAGGATCACTTAAGCCCAGGAGTTCGAGGCTGCAGTGAGCCGTGATCATGCCACTGCACTCCAGCCTGGGTGACAGAATGAGACCCTGTCTCTTAAAAATATATAATAATAATAACTAATCCCTCATCATGTTGGGAAGGAATAAATGGACACATAATATTACAAGACTGGGCTGGGCACAGTAGCTCACACCCGTAATACCAGCACTTGGGGAGGCCAAGAAGAGAAGATCACTTTAGGCTAGGAGTTCAAGACCAGCCCCGGCAACATAGTGACACCCTGTCTCTACAAAAAAAATTAAAACTTAGCTGGGTGCGGTGGTGCTCACCTGTAGCCCCAGCTTCTTGGGAGGCTGAGGTAGGAGGATCACTTGAGCCCAGGAGGTCAAGGCTGCAGTGAGCTATGACTGCACCACTGTACTCCAGCCTGAGCGACAGAGTGAGACCCTGCCTTAAAAAAGAGCTAGGTGAGGTGGCTCACGCCTGTAATCCCAGCACTTTGGGAGGCCAAGGCGGGCAGATTGCTTGAGGTCAGGAGTTTGAGAGCAGCCTGGCCAACATGGTGAAACCCTGTCTCTAGCAAAAATACAAAAATTACCTGGGCGTGGTGGCTGATGCCTGTAATCCCAGCTACTCAGGAGGCCGAGGCAGGAGAATCGCTTGAACCCGGGAGGTGGAGGCTGCAATGAGCTGAGATCGCACCACTGCACTCCAGCCTGGGCGACAGAGCCAGACCCCATCTAAAAAAAAAGAGGCAGTGGTTTCTGGAAGCGGTAGACATTTCCAGGGAAACCAGGATTGGGGGGCCGCTTCCCCACTCAGCCCCCCAGAAACGCCTGCTCTGGGAACAAACTCCACCATCTTCAATGCCACTGGATCATCCATCTGTTCAACCAGCATTTATTGGAGGCCTCTTGTGTGCCAGGTACTGGAGACCATGATAAAAAGGGAGGGTAGGCCGGGCTCGGTGGCTCAAGCCTGTAATCCCAGCACTTTGGGAGGCCGAGACGGGCGGATCACGAGGTCAGGAGATTGAGACCATCCTGGCTAACACGGTGAAACCCCGTCTCTACTAAAAAAAAAAAATACATAAAACTAGCCGGGCGAGGTGGCGGGCGCCTGTAGTCTCAGCTACTCGGGAGGCTGAGGCAGGAGAATGGCGTAAACCCGGGAGGCGGAGCTTGCTGTGAGCTCATATCCGGCCACTGCACTCCAGCCTGGGTGACAGAGCGAGACTCCGTCTCAAAAAAAAAAAGGAGGGTAGAGCTTGTACGGGGCACATCAGCAAATTATAGGACATCTTAGCAGGCATGTGTCAACGTAGGCCGGGAGAGAGGGATAGACAGAGGCTGGAGGTGGAGACGCGAGTGAAGAGGAGGAAGGGGCAGGCGGGGCAGAGGTCTGGGGGAAGGGCGTTCTAGGCAGAGGGAACAGCCCGTGCTAAGGCCCTGCGGTAGGAGCCTGGCCCAATCTCCCCCGCCAAGGGCTCAGGAGCACTGGCCACAAACCAGGCAGAGCCACTGCAGAGTCTCTGCAGCCCCGGAAGAAGATGGGAACTGCTCTGATCTCCATTTTGCAGAGGTGGAGACTGAGGCTGAAGGGACATAGCCCACAGTTACACAGGCAGGGCCTAGACTGGACCCCAGCTGGCATCCCTCATCCTCCAGGACTCACGGCAAGTGTCCCCTCCTCTGGGAGGCCTCCCTGGCCCCTGGCTTCGGTCCGGGACCCGGTGTCTCTACTGCCTCTTCTATGCCACTTTGTGATGATTTCATATTTCAGACATCTGCTCCCTCTGTCCGAAGAAATCCCCCTTGAGTCTAGAATCCTCCCTCCAGCCCTTGGCCTGGTATACAGTAGGTGCTCAATGAATGCCTTCCTACAAGAGCCCTGAGAGCCAGCTATCAGGAGCGTCACTTTACACAGAGAGAAACAGGATCAGAGAGAGAAGGAGACCTCCTCCACTGGGTTCATAAAGTGCAGTAGCCCAGGGCCAGCTGGTGGGGAGAGTATGGGGGGCATAAAGTCCTTCTGGACCTCTCTGGGGCCAGGAAGTGAACTGTACCTGCCCCCCACAGCATCCTGTGGTGGGGGGGCCTGGCCTGCAGCCTCCAGGGATGCAGTTTCTGGGCTTCCAGCCAACGCGACAGTCTGGGAACAGAGCCTGCTTGAGTCACAGGTGGCTGCGCGAATGCCAGGCCACCTCCAAAGCCACTGGGATTACACAGCGGGTGGGGAGGACTGCGGGGTGGGTGAAGGGGGCAGACAGAGCAAGGTTAGGCACACAGGCTCCCAAGGCCTCCTTCTCGCCCCTCACTTGGGAGAAATGGCATCTCCCAGCCTTGGTTTGCTCATCTGTGAGATGGAGAGGCTAAATGTGGCTTTTAGAAGATGCAGCAAGGGGCTGGGCATAGTAGCTCACACCTGTAATCCCAGCACTTTGGGAGGCTGAAGTGGGTGGATCACCTGAGGTCAGGAGTTCGAGACCAGCCTGGCCAACATAGTGAAACCCCGTCTCCCCTAAAAAATACAAAAATTAGCCAGGCATGGTGGCAGGCGCCTGTAATCCCAGCTACTTGGAAGGCTGAGACAGGAGAATCGCCTGAACTCAGGAGGCGGAGATTGCAGTGAGCCGAGATTGCACCACTGCACTCCAGCATGGGTGACAAGAGGGAAAATCCATCTCAAAAAAGAAAAAAAAAAAAAAAAAAAAAAAAGACAAAAAAAGGTTAAAAAACTTTCCACAAGCATTCATGGTGCACTTGGTGTGTGCTAGGCGGAAGGCACATTGGGGAACAAGCCCGTTAGACAAACAGAGGTTCCAAGCTGCTCGACAGAGGGATGGAGAGAAAGGCCGTCCAAGCTGGCCACAGTGAAGGCAAGGGCCTGGGACTGGAGGGACTTGGCCTGTTTAAGGAAGGCTGAAAGGGTGGAGCCCGGGAAAGAGTGAGTGAGGACAAGTGAGGGGGAAGGAGGCAGTGCGGCAGACCAAACAGTGCAGGCGGCCGGGCAGTGGCTCACGCCTATCATCCCAGCACTTTGGGAGGCTGAGGTGGGTGGATCACCTGAGGTCAGGAGTTTGAGACCAGCCTGGCCAACATCGTGAAAACCGAGCTGTACTAAAAATACAAAAATTAGCTGGGTATGGTGGTGGGAGCCTGTAATCCCAGCTACTCCAGAGGCTGAGGCAGGAGAATGGTTTGAACCCAAGAGGCAGAGGTTGCAGTGTGCCAAGATGGCACCACTGTACTCCAGCCTGAGCGACAGAGCAAGACTCCATCTCAAGAAAAAAAGAAAGAAAGAAAAAACGAAATCCCAACGTAGATGGGATGCACACGGGACCCTCAGGGCAATAGGGAACCATGGCAGGTTCTGGAGCCCAGCGGCTAAGCTTCCTCTGAGGGGCTTTCTCCGAGGGCAACATAAGGAATGGGCCTGGAGGGCTGGGCTGTGGCAGGTGTTCAGGTGCAGATGGTGGCGGCCTGGGGACGGTGGGCAGAGGAGGCGATGGCAGCTTCCAGAAGATTCCACACGGAACAACCTGCTGCACTTGGGGTGCCCCTGCGTTTATTGCACGGCCATCTCCGCAGGCGCACCCGGGCACAGGGGGTCCTCGGACACGAAGCGCGCAGGGTGCTCACGGAGGGGCTACGCACCTGCCCTCCCAGCGCTCCCGCACCTGCGCCCACGTGGCCTCGCACACCTGCGGCCCCAACCACCGAGCACGCGGCCCAGCGCAGCCCCCGCGCGCCCCCGCCAGGCGTGCCGAGGAGACCGGCGGGCGGGTGCGCGCGGCGGCGGCGCGCACGGCGGAGCCCGGGAGGCGGCGGCGGCGGCGGCTGCTCGTGTCGGCTCCGGGCGGCCCCCGCGCCGCAGCCCGCGCCGTGTCCGCGGCGGAGCCGCCCAGGTGAGTGGCCGAGCCGGGGCCCGGCGTGGGGCGCGCCCGCAGGCCTGGGGACCCCACACCTGCACCCTGCGCCCCTGCCGCCCGAAGCCCCCAACCCGCGACCCCATCCTCAGCCAGGGGAAATCGCCCCGCGCACCCCTCCCGGGCGCGTCGCTCCTTGCCAGGCCCCCGACGCTCCCCCTGGAAACTTTGGGGGCGAACTCCCCACCCTGGGGTCCCCCCGCCCCTCCCCTGGAGCGCCAAGGAGCGCGAAACCGGGTGGGCATCTCCCCGGAGCAGTGGGGACGCTGGGAGGATGCGCTCCTCTCCAGGAGGAGATGAAGGGGGCACTGGTTGGGTCTGGGGTGTGGGGAATGTCCGAATAGAGCCTGCAGCCCGCGCCTACCTGCCTGTCTCTCCCGAGCCGGGTCTGGTCCAGCCTGGGGGTGCGGAGCTGGAAGACGCACAGGGCGTCTGGGGTCCACACCGGAGCCTGCTCCGTCCCTTGAGCTGACGGCCCAGCCTGTCGGGGAGGGACCTAGGGGCATAGGGCTGAGTCCCCTGCTCTGGGGGCCTGCGTCTGAATAGCCCCAGAAATGGTAGGGGCTTCTCTCTGTGCCCTGAGGCTGGGCCTGGGTGCCCCCACCTCCCGGGCCTCTGGGGCCTGGCCAGGGGAGGCCTTGAACCCCATTCAACAAGTTTTGGGGAGCAGCACCTTGCGCCTTGGTCCGGGCACAAGAGAAGCCCCGCGTCCTTACGCTGGAGACCACCTTATAACTGGGTAACGTGTGCTTGGGGCACTAATGGTGCCGGTGTCCCGGCCCCCCCACTTCTGAGGAGTCAGAACTTCTGAGGTGATGGGCCCCAGAAGCTGTATTCTAGCGGGCAGTCCCTGGCTAATCCGTGGACGCAGTGAGGCTGCAGACACCCTTGCTCTGGCGGGGGTGGGGAGCGGGCGTCTGCTGTGCAGTAGTGTTCGCAGAGGGACGATCTGGGCTTGGCTGGGGGGAACCTTCAGGGACAACAGAGCTGTGAGAACCAGAGCAACCCAGGAGGGCTCCCTGAAAGTGGCGTGGAGAGGATGGAGAAGGTGTGAGGTGTGAGTGGTCAGGTGGAGGATGCAGGCTGGAAACAGGTTCAGGGAGGGTGGCGCTGGCTTTATCAGGAGGCTGGTGCGGGGTGGGCTGCTGGGACATGGCCTTACCCTGGCTCCTCTCCGAGCCGAAGCAGCAGCCATCGTCAGAGACAGAATCTGAGCGGAAAGAACCCATGGACTTCCCCTGTAGACCCAGCTCCTGTCCCCACCTGGATGATATGGGGTGGCAGGAAAGGGGCAGCCGGGCAGTGGGATGGGGGCTTAGGAGAGTTCAACTCAGCCTGCCCTGCCCTGCCTGTCCAGTCTCCACCAGCGACTTCTGGCAAATGACGTCCCCTGTCTCAGATTCACCCCACACAGGATTAAATGAGATGCTGCCCACCTCGGCTGTGGCGTGCTGCCGCCATAAAACAGATGCTCAGGGCCCTTCCTGGCCCCCCTCAGACTCAGCCATCCACCCCCAGGGTAAGCCGGGACCTGAAGGTACCTTGCTGAGTGGGAATAGAAGGCGGTTTGATGTCTCTTCCCACAGCACTGTCATTCCTCGGCACCCCCTGAGTCACTACCTCGTCACCAGGTAGAGAGCCTCTCAAAGAACTCTGCGAGCAAAGTTTGCCCCGGGTGGGCCCCGTCGAGCCGCCCACCACCACATGTCAATCTCAGGCCTCCAAAGAGCGCCCTCCACCCTCTAGGGGAGAGCTGGGATTTTGTGGGTAGGAGCTAGCATCAGACTCAGGTTCAAATGCTGACTGTCTGCAGCTAAGCAATGCGGTGAGCTGGGGCCCACTCTGACCCTCAGTCTCTTTCTCTCCAAAATGAACTTTATTATTCCCCCCGCCGTCAGGGCTGGGCTAGTGGGTGAAGTGGCCGCTGTAGACAGTAGGTGCTCCAAAACGGGTTCCAGATCTAGAGGCCCCACCTGCAGAGAGCAGTCCACGGCCCCCGTGTACAAGCTGGGAAGGAAAGTGGGTCGGGAGGCCCCCAGCCCCTCGAGGGGTTGACGGGGACTAACAGCAGATGGAAGCTAATTAGGGCTTAATGAATTGTCATGGATGAAGCCCCGGGAGGGCCTGGATCTAGGACAGAGGATGCAGGGGTCCTGCGGGACCGGCAGCGTGTCCCCAAAAGTAGACCTTGGAGGGCCGCGTGTTGTGAAGGGCTGGGCCCCCTCCTCCCATATCTGTCTTAGAAGCTCGAATGGGGATCGCATCCAGACCACACTCCTCTTACTCCCACCACCCCGGTTGTGGTAGGGGGTAGAGAGAGGGAGATAGAGGTCGCTGTGGGCCTGGGGACAGAGGGGGCAACTACCAAGCATCTCACCCCTGCCACCTCTGGGTTCGGTCGGCCTCCAGGAGGGCCTTTCTTGAGGCAGATGTCAGCATCCCTTGCCCTGGGCGGGGACTGGAGGGAGAATGTGTTTGAGGTAACCTTGCAAGAGGGCCGAGGGGAAGAGCCCTGCTCAGAATAAAGGAGGTGGATTGGAAGGGCTTCGGGACTTGGCCAGGAGCCGAGGGAGGGAGCTGCCCATCCCATCAGGCACCAAGCAGGTGGGGCCGCCTCTGTTCTAGGGAGAGACCCCGGCCACTCCCAGCCACACTCTGCCTTCTCCTTGGGCTGAGCTTCCAGGATCATGAGCCCAGGATCCGTATCTAAGGACAGCTGGGGATACTGGGAAGAGAGGCCTCCATTGCCCAGGTCCTGCCGTGGGGGGCAGTTTTTGGGAGGGGGTCCCCAAGGCCGGTGCCTGCACTGTGGTCGCTACAGATCTCAGACCCCAAGGAGAGGTCAGTGTCCCCCGCCTTACGTGCCCCAGAAGGCAGGTGCACAGATCCCGGAGGCCTTGAGCGACCTCCCTCTTCAAGACTGCAATGACCCCGATGAGTTCCGGCTGCTGTGACAGCAGTGGCTGAGAACCACACACATTTATTATCTGACCGTTCTGGAGGCCAGAGTCCAAAATGGACCTCACTGGCATCAAACCAGGGCATAAGGCTGGGTGCGGTGGCTCACACCCATAATCCCAGCACTTTGGGAGGCCCAGGCGGGTGGATCACCTGAGGTCAGGAGTTTGAGAACAGCCTGGCCAATATAGTGAAACTCCATCTCTACTAAAAATACAAAAAATTAGCTGGGCGTGGTGGCAGGTGCCTGTAGTTCCAGCTACTTGGGAGGCTGAGGCAAGAGAATCACTTGAACCTGGGAGGCAGAGGTTGCAGTGAGCCGAGATTGTGCCACTGCACTCCAGCCTGGGTGATAGAGCGAGACTCCGTCTCAAAAAAAAAAAAAAAACCGGACATGGGCAAGGCTGGGCCCTCCTGCGCGCTCCAGGCGAAAATCCAGTTCCTGTCTTTCCCAGTGCCCAGAGGCACCCGCATCCCTTGGCTCAGGGCCCCACCCTTTCCCTTCATAGCCTCAGTGCAGCCTCTTCCAATCTGTCTCTGACTTGCACCCTCCTGCCTCCTCTCGTGAGGACCCTGTGAGGATGTTGGGCCTCCGGATGATCCGGGATGATCTCCTGATCTCACAATTCTTACTTAATCCCATCTGCAGAGACCCTTTTTCCATGTAAGGTGGCTTTATCTGCAGTTCCGGGGATTAGAACGGGCTGGTTGTGGGGAGGCCTTCGTTCTGCCAACCCCATTCTGCCAACCCCAAGCCCCCCTTCCCTGTTTATTTTCTCCCATACCATGGCCCGCCATGTGACAGCTGGCTTTCCTTGTTTCTTCTGTTTCTCGCCCATAAACAGAATGCAGGGATTTGTCTGTTTTGTTCACTGCTGTTTGTCTTAAGAGCAGTGCCTGACACACAGGTATTGTATTTAAGTGCTTGTTGAATGAATGAATGATTGAATTATAATGAACGAATGAATGCTTGTTGAATGAACGAATGAATGCTTGTTGAAAGAATGATTGTTGAAAGAAGGAATGAATGCTTTTGGACGAATGAATGGCTTGTTGAATGAATGAATGATTGTCGAATGAATGCTTGTGAATGCTTGTTGAATGAATGAATGAGGTGAACACATGGCCAGGAGCAGACCAGGGCCTATGACTTGGGGCTCCTGACCCCAGCCGGCACTCAGTAGAGACTTCCCTGGAAGGAACCTCCTCACCCGACCTCTCACTCGCTCATTCCGGGGAGATGACTGGGAACCCTGCGGTTCCCTTTTGCAGAAGAGGAAACTGAGGCTCAGAGACTTCGATGTCTCTGCCCAAGGCGGTCGGTGGCCGATTCAGGTGGGGACCCCTGAGTTCTTGTCCTGGCTCTGGAGTGGACAAAGGGTCGTTGGTTCAGCACCTGGTGTTCAGTTCAGCCTCCCCATGCTCCGTCGTTGGCCACAGCTCTGCGTGTGGGTGACGGGGTGCCGAGGGAGGTAGTAGCGCCCTGCTTTCTCAAGATGGAGGTTCGGCCGAGAGTCCAGATTTTCCAGGTTTGGGGGAGGCAGGGCGACCTGGGGTTGGACCGCGCAGAGCTGGACACACCTTCCAACTGCAACCCAGATCTCACCATGTTCTTGCTCCTTATCCTCCCATGGCTCCCCATTGCCTGTGGACGCAAGTCCAGACACCTCCCTGAGGGTTCAGTGCCCGGGTCTGTTTTGCTGTTGCCAGCCAGGGCTCCCACCCCACCAAGCGCAGACACACCCCCGGCCAGCATCGCCCCTCACCTCGCTGTACCCCGCTGACCCCGGCTCCCCATCAAGGTCTCAGCCCAGAGGGGGTCTTCCCTGGGCCCGTGGAACACAGCCACAGCCCGGAAGAGACCCCCCGACAGCTCCCTACTGACTCCCCTCCTCAGCGCTTTTTTCGGACGATCTGCCCATTCGCTGGGCTGCGCGATGCTCGCCTGTTTGTGCCCCCAACTTGACGTTCAGGGAAAGGCCGGTCCCTGGAGGCCACAGATGATCTGATTGCATTGATGC